AGGATTTATATAGCGCCAACAGTTTGCTAAGCGCTTTACTATATAACGGGAGACAATACAGCAACAATACAGCTCAATACAAGAGGGTTAGGAGGGCCCTGCTCCTTGGAGCTTACAATCTAAGAGGGAGGGGCTAGTGGTACAAAAGGTAGTAAGTGTGAGTGATGGACTGGTAGGAGGAGTAGAAGATTCCATTATTAGCTGAGGGCGAGATAGGCTTCCCTGAAGAGATAGGTTTTCAGAAATCGCCCAAAAGTGAGCAGAGTAGGCGATAGTCTGATAAATTGGGGAAGAGAGTTCCAGAGGATGGGGGAAGCTCTGGAGAAGTCCTGGAGATGAGCATGGGAGGAGCAGACAAGGGAGCTAGAGAGCAGGAGGTTTTGCAAGGAATGGAGAGTACGGTTTGGGTGATATTTGGAGACAAGATTGGTGATGTAATTTGGGGCAGCGTTATAAATGGCTTTAAATGTTATTGTTAATGTTTTGAATTTTATCCGTTGGGCAATGGGAAGCCAGTGGAGGGATTGGCAGAGATTGGCACTAGCATTCATGATAGACTGAAGAGGGGATAGCCTGCGATGAGGTAGGCCAATGAGGAGGGAGTTACAATAGTCAAGGTGAGAGATAATAAGGGAGTGAATAAGTTGCTTAGTAGTTTCCGAGGTTAAGAACGGGCATATCTTGGAGATGTTGCGGAGGTGAAGTCTACATAATTTGGACAGCGATTGGATTTGGGGCTGAAAGGACAGATGGGAGTCTAGGATTACACCTAGTACCCTGGCATGAGGGGAGGGACTGATGGTTGCATTATTGGTCTTGATGGAGAAGTCAGGGGAGGGGGCACAGGCTGGAGGGAATACTAAGAGTTCAGTTTTGGAAAGATTGAGTTTGAGGAAGTGGAGAGACATCCATGCTGATATGTCACTTAGTAGGTTAGTAATGCGAGAGGAGACTGAAGGGGTGAGGTGAGGAGTAGAAAGATAGTGACCAAGGGAGTAGGTGTAGATGGAGAAGAGAAGGGGTCCAAGGAGAGAACCTTGAGGGACCCCTACAGAAAGAGGGAGTGGAGAGGAGGAGCCAGAGTTATAGGTAACGCTGAAGAAGCGCTGTGATAGGTAGGAGGAAAACCAGGAGAGAGCAGAGTCTCGTTTTTTGAGGAGGAGGGGATGGTCAACAATATCAAAAGCTGCAGAGAGGTCAAGTAGTAAGAGTATGGAGTAGTGGTCATTGGTTTTAGCGGTTAGTAGATCATTAGTGAGTTTTAGTAGGGCAGTTTTAGTGGAGTGTAGTGAGCGAAAGCCAGACAGTAAAGGGTCAAGAAGGTTGTTGTCAGTGAGTTAGGAGCTCAGGTGATTGTAGACTAAGCGTTCGAAGAGTTTAGAGGCAAACGGGAGCAGGGAGATGGGTCTTAAGTTGTTCAGGTTGGTGTGGTCCAGGGGGGCTTTTTAAGTATGGGAGTGATGTGTGCATGCTTTAGAGGAAAGGGGAAGGCACCATTAGAGAGGGAGAGATTGTAGATGCGAGTGAGGGAGCATAGGATGGAAGAAAAGGGTGACCATAGAAGTTGTGAGGGGACAGGATCCAGGGGGCAGGTAGTGAGACGGGTTTCTGAGAAAACCTTAGTGACCTCTTCAGTAGTAGCAAGGTCAAAAGAGGAAAGTGTTGACAGAGGTTTAGTATAAGGTATGCCAAGTGGGATGGATGTCTGTGCAGTGGAGATGCCCCTACAAATTGCATCAATCTTGTTTTTGAAATGCAGAAGAAACTAAAATTGATGTAGCGCTAAAACACACAACTATACATGTGGACATATAACATCAGTACCATGGGACATATAGCATAATATTGGGATCCTGTATAGGCGTGAAAAAGAAATAAATATATGTGTGCGTGATGATACTGACAAGATAAAGATGCAAAACAGATGTGCAACCCCTGCACACAGTGCACATAGATATATATAAAGTCCAGTGATCCTATATCAATATCCTCCACTCAAACAGAGTCCATAGACTGTATGTGGACCCTGCACACCACCACGTGCAATCCAAAACCAGCTGAAATGGGCATCCCTCTTCACCTCCTCCCTGCGACCCTGCAGGGCCACAGAGCTTTAACAGATCCCCACTGAATCAAGGTATGCTTCCTCTTGAGTGGATGGCTTCTTTAGTATACCCCAGTATACAGCTTCCACCTCTCCTATGATATCCTCCGAGGTTAGCTGAGACAGGGTGGACCCCAGCTCAAGCTCAGTTCTGTGAACTGTGAGAGACCAGATATAGTGAATGCGGGGTCCTGGGTTTAGTAACAGTAAGAATTAATATCGCCCTTGTGCATCTTCTAAAGAGCAGCACATTTATCTGTGTGTAGGGAATGAGCGTGATTATGTACGCCTTCCGGACACACAGTAATGTGAAACAAGCCTTAAAGAAGGGTGCCTCAAGACTGAAAATACTTTTCAAGGACACCATGTGATTGTAAACGCTATTTTTTTAAATAACCAACAGGTTTATACTTACATTTAATTTGAGGCAATCTCTTTCTTTCAATGTTTACAATGCTTACTTCTCACTTAGACAGCAGGTTTTCTTGAAATTTGTGATATATTCTTGTGAGAGTGTGCCAGTTATAGAAATACGTTTGACTTACTGGCTGTCACCAGGCATTTGTTGCCAAATCCAACTACAAACTTAACCCCTTGGTGCCGGTGCCTCCCGGCCTTTTAAGGGTTCCAGGAGCCGGGAGGCGGGGCAGGGTTTTAGGGTCATGTGACCGCTGTAATTCGCTGTCACGGCGGTCACATGATCGGGAAAGATCCTGATTAAAAGAGGAGATCGGGACCTTTCCGTGAGTACCGAACGTGTGTGCTGGGAGCATGCAGGGCATGAGCTCTCAGCACATATTTCTTTTTAATAGAACGCAAATGTGCGGCCGCTCAGCGTCTAGGCCCAGATGTTGGGAGGCCACACATTTGCGTTCGGGCCAGCGCCAAGAGGTTAAAGGAGAGGGAAAGCAGGATAGGAAGTTTTACACCCTGGTTCCACCAAACCCAACTTTGAAATCATGCAACTTACAGTGAAGTCAGATGACATGCCGATTTCAGGTGCGATTTGCAAGACATCTGATACAGATGTCTTTGCAAATCACACCAAAAGTAGTGCATGTACTACCTTAGAATTTGGTGCGGCTCTGACAAAGTCAGAACGCACCTCCATGACCGCTCTAATTGTGGACAATAGGCTGCGATTTGGCATGCGATTTGTAAGTCACATGGCATGCAAATCTCATGCCAATTCACACCCAATGTGACCGGGATCTTAATTCTGTCCCTAAGCAAACTCTTGATTCAAGTTGTACACTTGCAATGTGCTGTGCTACTCTAACAACTCATTGAAGAGGTCAGGCTGTGACTGGGTACACTGGAAGCTAAGATGAGCATTTGTTGCCCTTGATTACAAAGATTCTGGTAAACCCATGAACAAAAATTGCTAGTATTGCAATTTAACAATCCTTAAATGTGGTGGCTGCATTTGTTTTTTCACACTTTTTTCTTTTATAGTAAAGTGGAGTTCCAGCTGTTTTTGTGTTTATTAAAAGTCAGCAGCTACAGTTTTTGTACCTGCTAACTTTTAATAAACACACACTTACCTGTCCTGGAGTCCTACAATGTTCTCACCCGTGCAGTCCCTTCTGTCCGCCTTGGCGCCAGCATCTCTACTTTGGGCACCATGCTGTGACAGCTTGCGGCTTCACAGCCTGGCGCCCATGCGCAAGTTGCGCCGCGCCTCCTGTGAAAGTTCCCAGGAGACAGCGGGAGCAAGGAGGGGGCTGAGCTTCCGGTTCACTTCGCCGTGGCGAACTGAGCTGGAAGTGTGAGAGGGTACCTGTCAAAACCAGGTACCCGCTCACCCCTCCCCCACAAAAGGTGCCAAATATGGCAGTGGAGGGGGGGGGGGGGAATTAGCGGAGCTTCCACTTTTGAGTGGAACTCCGCTTTAACTTGGTAATTATGCTATTAATACACTTTCTGTCCTAAGGTGAGAAAATCATTGTCACCCTAGGACAGGAAGTGTGTTAGGACTACATAACACCTTCCTCTCTTCTCAATAATGAGAGTAGGTGTTTTGTAGTCTGCAGAGATAGCAGGGAACATTGTTATCTGATAAAAGTCCAGAGGCAGAAAGCACAGGAAGTTTTCAACTCACAAGAATTCTGGCTGGATGAACAGCTACTATTGTTTGCACTTAAATTACAGATGTAATAAAACGCTTTCAAGGGTATATTTAAACATACCAAAAGGGACCAAATAAGAGAAACTGATTGTTAGAGTTTACATACACTTTAGGTCATCTACCCATTGGCAGTTAAAGAAAATATTTACTGAGAGAAATATAAAGCCTGCCATTGCTGATCTACTTCTAAATGTATTATTTTTATGGCAGCCTATGGCCTGGATATTTTCTGAGCCTTTGACCTGGAACACATTTGCAGCAAGTCAAGTTAGAATGAAGTCAGATCTCTAGTTAGAAATAAGTGACTCAGAAATTAATCAGTTGGATCAATATGAGGGGTAAGTAGCATTTTGAGCAAGAGTGGAGAACAGTGAAGCTTTTTTTATTTTTCTCATCACAGGCTCATTTAAAAAGGAGCAGGCATCAGAGCTGCCATCTTGATTCTGGCTTCATTATGTATACAGTAAGTATACAGCCAACAAATCCCAAAAAACAAACTCTCGTGTGCATGTTTCAGATCATTGACTTACTGAGTATTGAGGCCAGCCATAGAGCCTACATTTATAAAAGCAAATCAGAAATGGCAGCTCCCATGTTTCTGATAGTCAAAAAGGGTTCTGTCATTCAACACAACCCTTCATATAAATACTGTATATTACTTTAGCAGAGGTTTCAAAGCAGCCTACTTACAGTGGAATATACACTATATTGCCAAACGTATTGGGATACCCCTCCAAATCATTAGATTCAGGTGTTCCAATCACCTCCACGGCCACAGGTGTATAAAATCAATCACCTAGGCATGCAGACTGCTTCTACAAACATTTGTGAAAGAATGAGTCGCTCTCAGGAGCTTAGTGAATTCAAGCATGGTACTGTGATAGGTTGCCACCTGTGCAAGAAGTCCATCCATGAAATTTCCTTGCTACTAAATATTCCATGGTCAATTGTTAGTGGTATTATAACAAAGTAGAAGCAACTGGGAACAACAGTATCTCAGCCCCGAAGTCGTAGGCCACATAAAATGACAAAGCAGGGTCAGCACATGCTGAAGCACACAGTGCATAGAAGTCGCCAACTTTCTGCAATGGCTAAAGACCTCCAAACTTAATGTGGCCTTCAGATTAGCACAACAGTGCATAGAGAGCTTCATGGAATGGCTTTCCAGGGCCGAGCAGCTGCATCCAAGCCTTACATCACCAAGTGCAATGCAAAGCGGCGGATGCAGTGGTGTAAAGCACGCCACCACTGGACTCTAGAGCAGTGGAAACATATTCTCTGGAGTGATGAATCACGCTTCTCTGTCTGGCAATCCTATGGACATGTCTGGGTTTGGCAGTTGCCAGTAGAACAGTACATTGTGCCAAGTGCAAAGTTTGGTGGAGGGGGGATTATGGTTTGGGATTGTTTTTTTCAAGAGTTTGTCTTGGCCCCTTAGTTCCAGTGAAGGGAACTCTTAAGACGTCAGCATACCAAGGCATTTTGTACAATTTCATGTTCCCAACTTTGTGGGAACAGTTTGGGGATTGCCTCTTCCTGTTCCAACATGACTGCGCACCAGTGCACAAAGCAAGATCCATAGTGACGTGGATGAGTGAGTTTGGGGTGGTGGAACTTGACTGGCCTGCACAGAGTCCTGACCTCAACCTGTTAGAACACTTTTGGGATAAATCAGACTGGAGACTGTGAGAAAGACCTTCTTGCCAGACATCAGTGCCACAAATGAGCTTCTGGAAGAATAGTCAAACATTCCCATAGACACACTCCTAAACCTCGTGGACAGCCTTTCCAGAAGAGTTGAAGTTTTATAGCTGCAAAGGGCGGGCCAACTCAATATTGAACCCTACGGACTAAGACTGGGATGCCATTAAAGTTCATGTGTGTAAAGGCAGGCGTCCCAATACTTTTGGCAATATAGTGTATGTGGATGTTGGCAGTCATATATTGATCCAGTAGCGGCTTGCACCCATGTCTCAGTAACTGTCAATAGCTCTAATAACTCTGCAGATAAAGGCAATCATAGATGCTTGGGTTCTGCCACCAGGGAAGCCCCTTGCACACACCTGATGCCATACAAACCCAGTTTGATAAACTTTTGCAGCACATATAGCTTTTAGCACATATGGATTTGTTATACTCTGAGAAAGAAGGGGTGCATTCATGACCCAAAGTTCAAATCAACTTCAGAGCTTTCAAACTGAGTTGAAAACATAAGGAATGTATGGGTCCACCTTGGAACACAGCAGGTCATCTTCAATATCTACATAATACTAAGACTTAAGCTGAATAGGTCTCCCCTTGTGGTCTGTGGGAGTCCAGACTTTGTGATATACTCCCTCATTGTGTTGTCAAATCCCTGACTCAAGGGCACCTTGCTCTGAACCCTTCCTGTTCCTCCAACTCCTTCTTTAGTTAGTACCTTGTTTTTTTAAAAAGTGTGAACATGTGAAGAATCAGATTGTTATTGTGGAGTTTCTGAAATTGTGCTGTCATTATGTGTAATATTATGATCTGAACTCAGTCAATTTTTTTTCTGGTCAAAACCCTTGTACTTGACTGCTGGTCTGCAGTAGTCCAGGTGCAGGCTTCAGTAGAACTCGTCATCACTCAGTAAGTCACAATAAACATGGCTATGGAACCACACACTGATGACATCATCCATTAACCGCTTGCCGCCCTGCCACTGTGTTTATACGTGTGCAGGGCGGCAGTGGAGCGCAAAACCACGTTTAAAAACGGGTTCCGCGCTCCCGACACTTTCGCGGGCAGGGGCGCGCGCGCGCGCGCGCCCCGCCGACCCGCGGGTGATCCGATTCGATCCAGGAGGGATCAATCATTAGATTTCAGCCAGTGATTTCTGGCTGAAATCGGATGATCGGTCCCTGTCCTATCCTGTCCTGTGTTGATATTTACACAGGGCAGGATATGATGTCATTCTTCTCTGCCTGGACACATTCCGTTCCAGACAGAGAAGAAGAGACATTTAAACGTGAGTAAAACACTACACTAACAGTTAGAACACACTCTAGGACACATTTAACCCCCTGATTGCCCCCCCCAGTTAACCCTTCACTGCCCTGTCACCAGTGTACCTGATCAGTGAAGCGATTTTTATTGATCACTGTATCAGTGTCGCTGGCGACTTCCAATAGTGCTAGCGCCCCCTCCCAGATAGCGCCAGTTTTGCCCCCCAGTACACCAATAAAGCCATTTAACCCCTTAATTTCCCCCCCCCCCTCCAGTTAAACCCTTAACTGCCCTGTCACCAGTGTCACTGATCAGTGAACCAATTTTTTACTGATCACTGTATCAGTGTCGCGCTGGCGACTTCCGATAGTGTTAGCGCCCCTCCCAGATAGCGCCAGATTGCCCACTAATACACCAGTAGTCCCGTCTAACCCTTGATCGCCCCCCCCCCCCCCCTGAGTTGACCCCTTCACTGCCCTCTCACCAGTGTCACTGATCAGTGAACCAATTTTTACTGATCACTGTATCAGTGTCGCTGGCGACTTCCGTTAGTGTTAGCGCCCCTCTCCCAGATAGCGCCAGATTGCCCGCTAATACACCAGTAGTCCCGTCTAACCCCTTGATCGCCCCCCCCCCCCCCGAGTTGACCCCTTCACTGCCCTGTCACCAGTGTCACTGATCAGTGAACCAATTTTTACTGATCACTGTATCAGTGTCGCTGGCGACTTCCGTTAGTGTTAGCGCCCCTCCCAGATAGCGCCAGATTGCCCGCTAATACACCAGTGATCCCGTCTAACCCCTTGATCGCCCCCCCCCCCTCCCCCCCCTGAGTTGACCCCTTCACTGCCCTGTCACCAGTGTCACTGCTCAGTGAACCAATTTTTTACTGATCACTGTATCAGTGTCGCTAGCGACTTCCAATAGTGTTAGCGCCCCTCCCAGATAGCACCAGTTTTGCCCGCTAGTACACAGATAATCACATTTGACCCCTTGATTGCCAGGAACACGCTTACTTACATTGCTAGTATATGTGTCTCTGATTGGATCAATATCTTTGATCAGATCTGCGCTATACCAGCATTCACATTACTTTAGTATCCCCAAAAACGCAGTGTTAGCGGGATCAGCCCCAACACCTGCCAGCACCTGCGTTTAGCCCCTACGCCCCCCCCCCTTCTCCCCCGGCAAGTGCAGTGTCAGTAGATAACTGTCACTTGATACATATTACACACAAAAACCGCAGTGTTCACAGAATCAGGCCTGATATCTGTTAGCACTTGTCGGTAAATTTTTTGTAGCGGTTCAAGCAGTCCCTGACAGCCAGGCGCTCTTTTTCCCGTGAGTCGCACTAGGTACCTGTAAATTTAGTGGCCAAAATGTCTAAGCAAAGGTACACTAGTGAAGAGGCCTATAGGATTCTGAGCATGTCAAGTGAGAGCGAAGGGGAAGACTCACTGGCAGAATCAGGCTCAGAATACAAACCTATAGACAGCAGCGGCACCCTGACAGCTAGCTCAGGCGACGAGGAAGTGGTCCCTGCTAAGGTCAGGCGTACCCGATCCCATTCACAGGTTGCTGAGGTGGTACAAATGCATGATGACTCTCATATGCAGCAGAGTGCCAGTACTAGTGCCGCAGTATCTTTTGGTGAACTGGCGAGCACCAGCGGCCTAGTACGTCCTGGTCGTAGGCATACCAGCACTGCAGTATCACTTGGTGACGTGGCGAGTCCCATAAGTGCAGTACAAGCTGGTGCGGTGTGGCGAGCACAAGTAGTGTCCCGCGGCCACCAAGAATTCGCAGACAGGCCCGTAGAGCCCCTAGTGTCCTTCCGGATGTGCTTGCAAATCCCGATTGGCAGCCCACAAATTCTGCAGCACCCGTACTTCCCCCATTCACTGCCCAACCCGGAATTCAGGTGGAAACAGCAAATTTAAATACTCCCCTTAATTTTTTTGAGCTGTTTTTCACAGAAGATCTTTATGCATTGATTGTGGATCAAAGCAATTTATATGCACGCCAATTTATCGCCGCCAACCCAAATTCAAACCTTGCCAGACCATTCGCATGGAAACCCATTACGGTTTCCGAATTTAAAGTTTTTTTTGGGCCTAACCCTCAACATGGGCATTAATGATAAAAATCAATTGCGGTTGTATTGGTCCACCGACCCTCTTGTTCACATGCCCGTGTTCTCTGCTGCCATGGCCAGGCATAGATATGAGAGTATAATGCGTTTTATGCACTTCTACGACAACTCACTCAGTCGTCGTCCTCGGGGTGACCCTGAATTTGACCAGCTCCACAAAATTCGGCCCCTCGTAAATCACTTTAACCAAAAATTTGCAGATGTGTATACTCCCCAGAAAAACATCTGCATCGATGAGTCCCTCATTCAATATTCTGGCCGCCTTGTAATCAAACAATATCTCCCCAGCAAGCGTGCCAGATATGGGATCAAGATGTATAAGACCTGTGAGAGGGCAACAGGCTATACATGTAAGTTTCGGATTTACGAGGGAAAAGATAGTTACTTGGAGCCCCCCGGATGCCCAGACTACATGGGGAGCAGTGGCAAGATAGTTTGGGACTTGGCGTCATCCTATTTCCATATGGGGGTACCACTTATACGTGGACAATTTTTATTCAAGCGTGCCACTATTTAGACATTTGTTCAATTTGGGAATTTGCACATGTGGCACTGTGCGATCTAATCGCCGAGGCTTCCCCCCAACGGCTTGTAAATACCCGTCTTAAAAAGGGGGAAAAAGCCTGCTTGAGAAATGAAGAATTGCTCGCAGTGAAGTGGAAAGGACAAACGGGATGTTTACCTCCTGTCTTCCATTCATAAGCAGATACGACCGTCCAAATTACCACGGCAACTGGTGTTGTTGAGAAGCCCCTCTGTGTCCACGATTATAACCTTAACATGGGAGGGGTGGACTTCAATGACCAGATGATGCAGCCGTATTTAGTTTCCCGAAAATCCAAACGCTGGTACATAAAAGTGTCAGTTTATTTATTTATCAATTGGCTCTATATAATGCTTTTGTTCTCTATAAAGCAACTGGACATAGTGGATCATACCTAAATTTCC